ATTATATATTTCTAAATAGCTAGAAAAGAAGAATTCTAATGGTTCTAGCACACACACACAAAAAAAACCAACATATTTTAGGTGATGGATATCCCAGGTATATTGATTTGATCTTTACAAATTATATGGATGTATTACGTTATTACATGTACCCTAAAACTATGTACATCTATTATGCATCAACAAAAAATTGAATTCTATAAGGTTACAGAGTATAGGACTCCATTCACTGTTCTTGAAATGACAAAACAATATACATGAAGAATGGATTGGTAGTTGTAGAGGTCAGGGAGGGGGTGGGGGAGCTGGGCAGGGGAGTGCCAGTGTGGTTACAGAAGGGCTACAGGAGGATGCTTGTGATGAGGAACTGTTCACACTGAACTGGACTGGGCTACAACCAGAAGACATACTGGACTATGGTAAAAGGTCTCTTTTGCAATCAACACAAAGTCAGAGCTTGGGAACATGGACTCACCGGCTCAGATCCGTCCCGGGCACATACTGAGAGAAGCGAGAATGAAGCAGAGGGATGAGTCTGAGATCGCACCACCGCTTTTCCCACCTCAAGCCTGGAGATGTTGGCCACGAGGAACATGATAATGTGTCCTGAAAAGAGTTCAAACATTCAGAATTCTTTCTTTTTATTTTCTTCTATGTTTTGAATTTCTATGTCACAGATGCTGTTCATCTGAAAGAGATTTGGTTTTCCTAAATGATCAAAAAGACTTTTATAGAATACCAAGAGAAGAAATCCATACTATTGACAATAAAATTGTACTTGTTAACTCCTTTATTAATGGGATTCTATAAGAAGTGAGAAAGTAATCACTGAGATAAAGAATGCTAGTGATAACATATTTTAAAAATGGCGAGGGGAGAAGGAAGAAAAGGATCAAAGTGTGACAGAACTTTGGATTCATTCAAAGAATTCATTCAAGCATGGGAAAACGGGACAAAACTGTGACTATAATGAAACAGTAAGTGACAAAAATAAAAACAAGCTCTAGTTCATGCATTTAGCCAATTATTTTAGTGTGAAGCACCATTTAAGTGTTTATAATTTATCAGTTACTTGAAAATATTTTTGAATAGAATGAACATGCCTGTTAAAGGACTTTGCTCATTGTTTGACCTTCATGTGTATAAAAAGTTTATACTTTCTTGTATTACTTTAATGTCATGTTGAGCCAACTAATGCTGGTTTAAAATGACACATATTTTAAGTTTTTTTAGAATTTTTTTCTTATTTTTATAAGAGACTTAGATTTGAATTCAATTTGGGCTTTTTCACTTAATATTGACTTTCATTATTTTAGCTTCACTGTTGCAATTTCTCCGTAGCACTAGAACATAGAATAATGTTAATGTTTAAGTTGGCATTGGCTGTAAGTGGCTCAAGGCTCAATGTGACCAGGGAACTCTTGCCATTGTTTCCTCTTTATTCACTAATTAGAGTGATGATGTTAGAAGGAGATTCTATTTTCATCTAGATGTTAAAACTGTTATCTAAATATTATTAAGCATTACTTCAAATATTATTTTTTTAAATGCTTAGGAAAAAAATACTAAAAGTTCCACATCCCTTGGCATTATTTATTATGTTAGTTGTCACAGACTGTGCAAACAAAAATGTTCTAAGTTTGTGGAGCAGTTTATAACACCTAGAAGGGTGGACTGGCTGACATTGCTTAGTGAGAAGCCCCCTGTAGATGACCTAATAGGTACCTCAGCCTCTAAGTCACCTGTCCTTTGATTTCAGACAGTTGCTTTGAATGCTTATCCAATGACTATAAAGGCACAAACCCAGGTTTCATGTTAGTATTTCTCCTGGCCTCATGTCAGATATTGTAGGTAGTCAGTGTGAGGTCTGGCCTGGGGTCAGGTTCTTCCACCAGATGTTACAGGGGTCAGTTGGGCAGCGATACAGCAGGGTGGTGAGGGGTCAGGTTGCAAATCAGAATCAGACCACTTAAGTCTGAATCCCCATTTCCCACCTGACTACCCATTTACCTAGGGGCAAGTTACTTAAGGTCTGTCTTACAATGCCAGTCTTCAAAGCGGAGACAATAATAGTAACAACAGGCAAGATTATAGAGATAAATGAAGGAGGAAATGCTTGGACTACAGCCCAGTGAACTATCTTCATGCTATTTTCAATATTTCTAAAAAGCTAGTGGAAATTTTACATTGCTTATAACAGCAGGCTGATTAGAAACATAGCTTTGCAGCTGTAAGCAAAAAATGGAAAATAACATATTCTCAAAAATAATAATAAGCTTGGATAACAGAGAAAATTATTTCTAATCATGAGACTTCTAGGAAGGACATTCTTACTTGTATGAGCAATAGTATTATCTACTGTGACTGCTACTGGTAATATTGGTAATACTTACCTATACTCACTGTTTGCACACTTTACCTAAAACCCTTGCAACATCTGTGAAAGACAAAGCTATTGCTATGTTCATCTCACAGAGGAAAAACTGAGGCTCTTTTTAGCATTTTATTATTGCTATCCCACCTTTTCTTCATGAGGGCACATGAGGTAGACTCAGGTAAACACACCAGATTTCTGCAGCTAGGCCAGAGCTGACTACAGGGATTGGAATTGGCCCAGATCCCAAAAAAGCTACCCTATGATAAGGCCCATATTGGCATGTGGCTGAAACCCACTCCCAGGACCCTGGCGCACACGTGCAGTGCTGAGAAGTTCTACAGTAAACAATGCACCCACGGTATTCAGCCAGCAAATGACACCCCAGGATTCACTCAGACGGACACCTCTCTGACTCCAGAGCCAAAAATCCATCTCAGCACAACATTTAACTCCCGTATTCAGAGGGAAACAATGAAAAGAATAATTCAGGTTTTTTACTTGATTATTTCACACTTCTATTGTATAATTTTAGGCATATTATTTAAATATGGTTCCTCATCTTTCATAAAACATAATAAATAACTCCTCTCATATTTTATGTTCCATGAACGAATGGGATAGAAAGTGTCAAAGATAATAAAAGGCATAGGCAATGAAATACTGAGGACGATGACAATCACTAGTAGGTGAGTATGACTTTTACAAATCATATGACAGACTTCATAGACTGGTAGGTATGAAAATATATGCAGCCTTGGACATGTCTTTGTTGTAACATTTTGACTTGATGCCTTTCTGTAGCAAAGTTTTAAATATATCACTTTCTTTTATGTTTCTTCCTTATAAGAAATATGAAATAAGTCCCACTTCAGTTATTTGACTTATCAGGGTTGATGTATTTAATATAATAGACCTGTTATTTATAGTGGAATACCTACAATTCTTTAAGGAACTTTCATCCTTATGTAATTCTGTAAATATAAATTTGCTTTTTAATCTTTTTATTGGAATACTAGTCAGAACTATTTTGAATTGTATAAAGGTAATCTAAAAGCAAAATGCAAAATCATTTTTAGACAATCATGACTATTTTTCAAAAAGCTTTCTATAATGTCAACAATGTTGCTTCCTAAAACATTAATAATGTGAATGGAAAAAGCAGTATCTACGAACTCTTTCTTTAAAATAGACTCTTTTCCCAAAACTTAACAGGCGACAAACAAGGACCTCAAGAACAATTATCTTACCAAAATGGAATTGCCTGCAGGGCAATATGCTGATCACCTTTTGTTAAGGACTTGGCATGGAAAGTATTTGTTAAAGGTGTACAGTTAAGAAAACGTTTCTCAGAGTCTGGTTAGCTGATCACTTGAATCAGAGTCTTCTGGTGAGCACAAAACACATTTCTTTACTCCATCTCTGGAGAGAAATTCAGTGAGTCTGGGCTGGGACTCAGTCCATGTCTTGGTTGGCAAAACAGGTAATTCTTACATACTCTAAAATTGGTGACCTCATGTCTTTAGAAGAACTAGATTATATTTTTATTTAGGATGGTGAAGTGGTATTAATATATTATAAGCCTTTATTTTTTCTTATATGTATAACACTGCCATAAAACATGGTAAGGATATTTCAGAAAACTAGAATAGTATCTACTTACTCAAAATTTGCTTCAGAGCCAGGCAAAGAAAATAAAAAGGATTTCCTAAGCCCAGAATAAAACTGAGGATTTGTATATATCAGAGAATCGAATGTTTCTCTTAAAGAGACTGAGTGGTCTATAATATGCAAAGATTCTGTAGAAAATTTACTTAACAATACATTCTTCCTTCCAAGTGCCCACTGTCCATTGTTATTTCATGATGGGTCAGAAGAAAACTTGTCTTTGACTTTTCCTAATTTTGTAAACCTCTGAGTACAAATGTTCTCCACTCTCTACTCCTACGTCAAAGCTTAGTCAAGATACAGAAGAGAAAACATGGGAAAACACTGGCTGTACAAGTCTGTATGATGTGGTTGCAATTGAAGATCAATGCTCCTGTGTGGGTAAAAGAGCATCCATTCTGTTGGTAGTCTCTCAAATTTTGCTGAATTCAGTTAAGTCAGATTTTCAGTCTCCATAGCTCTTGTCTGTTACTACAATGCTGCAATCCATTGTCCTTTACATTGTAGTTGATTGTATGCATCTGCCGGTAGAGCTGGATTTTTAAACTTGTTGGGTCAGGGACCATAATTAACTCCTCCCCAAAGTACCTAGAAGAGTGTTTCCACAGAGTAGATTCTCAACAAAAATTCATTTAATCCCTATGCATTGAATTTTTAAATTTATTTTGAATATACTTTATCTGAATTTATATATTTTTTATTTCAGAATATTATGAGGGCATATGTTTTGATTCATATTCCCTAAAATATGGTAAACACTTTTAATTTCCTTACACTGAAATATCTTCTACATCAAAAGAATGTTCAATTCTAATGCTAAAAATGAGAATAAAATGTGCCTCTTGAAAATGAAAAGACTAGCTCCAGTACAAAAAAAATCTGACAATTGGTTTTTTGCAACAGGATTTATTCGGAGCAGTCATGTTGTAGAATTACTGAGTGATTTTCTTGCTCTAATTATAGCTTTCTGCAGGAAGAAATTAGTCCATAGACATTTTTCTATATGTCAGGAACGAGTTAAAAACAAACCAGAATGATTTCTACCCTTAGACCTTCCACCCGACTCCTCATGTTTATAGAGTACAACAAAAACATTACCAAACAGCTGTCTCCCACTCTGAAGCATGGTAGCTTTTGTTCCTGCCTTAGGCGCAGAGCTGGGATGGAGCTCCTTGTGTGAGTGACATGCACAGGGGAAATTCCCAGAAGAGACCTGTGGGAACTGAGGGAAGCAGGCAATGTGGTGGCCATGTCCTGGCTAAAGGTGGGGGTTCTTCGAGGGAGGCCTCCATCTCATCTGCGCAGCCCTGGAGGGGCCTGCCTTTGCTCCCCGTCACTAAGGCGCACGTAGAGTTTCGGATCCCCGTCAGGCAAAGGGATCCTTCCGAGCGTGGTCAGCTGTGAATGGGGGCAGCCAACACTCACAGCAGCTGGGGACAGGTGCACCAGTGTGGTGAAGGGAACGGAAGAGCATCGAAGTATCATCTGGATTGGAAGGCAAGAAGGTGGGCAAAGCAATTCCAAAAGTAAGAGGTAAAAAGTGTGGTTGGAGACTGTAAGAAGTCTATAGAATTGAGAAGGAAGCTGATGGGAGTGTGTGTGTGTGTGTATACATTCATTTTCTTAGTAGGAAATGAATGTTTAAGTCAGTCGGATCTTGTCATCTTCTGAAGATCAGTGTTTTAAATGTGCAACTAATTATTTCTCTGGCAAGAAAAATTAAGAAGGCAGCAAGATGAAACATATCCAGATGCAGTTGGTTTTAGAAAATATCCTTACAATTGTGCCGATAACTTTGGTCTTGCCAAGTGTTCCTCTTCATGAGGAAAAACAAAGTAGAAAACTTGGAGACTTAAGGTACTCAGCTAAAGGATAATACCGGGGCCACTGGGTACAATGAAGGCCATTCAGGCCTGAAGATATTCCAAAGGAGTACTTTGAAGTAAAATGCCATAATTTGGAGAGGAATTTCAAATACAAGATGAATCACACAAGTCAGAAGAAAAAGCTATATGCCTTCTATATCCTAATGGGCAGTATAGAAAAATAAAATTCTGCTCAAGGTCATGTTAAATCTACATATAACTAAAGAGAATTGTGTTGTCATTAGAACATGTCAACGTTTTGAAGGGTGAAATATAAGAAATTTAAAAAATGTTTATAATAGTATGAAACCTATTTACTCAAAAGTCAAAGTAGAAAATAAAAATTAAAATGGTATTAAATGTCTATAAAACAAACACCTGACCTACTTATTTTTCCTTTCTGGCCCATCATAATAATTAAATTATGAAACAACCAAGGATTTCATATCTATAAGACAAATCAGATTCAAAGTTTTTGCAAACTATTATAAACATGTTTATATTTAGTTATATGTGTACATATATGTTATGTATATTCATCTTGAGTTAATTTTATCTTTTATTAAATACATGTATAGTTTAAAATTCATTACATTTGAACAAAATGTATAGATTAGATTTCTCACTTTGCAGTACTTCCGTGGTATGCATAAAGATTAAGAAATCCTCAAAAATAAGAAATTTAAATAGCTACTTTTAGCTAAGTAATTTCAAAAGAAAAATGATAAAAATAATGTCAAAGACTTTAGAGCATGAAATCACATATTATATGCAACGTTCTAAAATGACCGTATGACACTACGCACGACTCCCCCGTCATCAGTATCCACAGTCTACAAAGGGCTTACTGCACACAGACCTGAGAGGAAAAACGTGGCATAAAAAATAACTGACCTACTTATTTTTCCTTTCTGGCCCGTCATAATAATTAAATTATGAAGCAACCAAGGATTTCATATCTATAAGATAAATCAGATTCAAAGCTTTTCAAACTATAAACATATTTATATTTAGTTATATGTGTACATTTATGTTACGTATATTCATCTTGAGTTTTCTGTGTTATCTCCTTATTAATCTGAGCTACTCCTGGGTCATCTTACTGTATTGTTGGGGTGGTAGTTGAGATGCAAGCCACTGTCACAGAGAGGAGAGGAAGTGCCGCTGCTCTGGTCACTCGGAGCACCTGCAGGAGACAAAGTCGTGACGTTGTCCTGATTAGAAATGCCATGCCACTGCAGACCAATACATGCACATTACTTTCAAGTTCACTCAATAATATCAAGTAAATCAGGTACTAAAGTAAAATTTTATTTTACTCTATCAGTGCCAGAGTGTTGTAAGTAAGCCAGGTGACTACAGGTATTGGGGCACTAAAAGAGACTCACAGATATTTATCTTTGATTTCAGAAACACTAAGGCATTATTAAGGGAAATGTACAACCTTATAAAAAGTAATATTTTTTTCATTATCCAAAGTGGCCTATACTTATAAACCATACTTATAATAGTGCAAGATTTTTTTTGTCTGCAAGGCTCCATTTAATGTCATGTTTTAACCTACTGGCAAATCTTCTTTAAAAAGCATAATTTTCCATGATGCAAATCATGTGCATGTGCTCTGTCTTTATAAATGCTCTTGGCATGTGTTCAAGAACTCATGAAGCTATCTAATTTTGTGAAGTTGCAAAGATAAAATTTCATATTAGATCCTCAGAAGAAACCTATTAATATCTATTTTTAAAGATGAGTAATATGTACCTTAAAGATTTGTAATTTTCCAAGATTTCACAATTTAGGAAATATTAGAGTCAGAATTAGAATGAATATTTTTTGACTTCCGATTACTTGCTTTTTCTAAAGAAATTTTTTGTACTTGCTAATATTGATTAATATGACCTGTAATTGACTTCCAAATATTATTTGAAAAATTATACTTAAATTCAAGCATCATATGTCATAGGAAACAACTACTAACATAATAACCCATGTGCTCAAAAAACAAATAATTTTTTCTTCTCTTTTATTATTCTAAAATTCTATAGTTTCCCTGGTACTAAGAAAGGGATCATAGGCTTTCTTGCTATGTTAGCCTGAACATAGTTTTTCTACTCTTCAAAGCTTAAAGACTTTACACTTTGTTTTAGCTACTTTTTCTTGTAAACTTTATCTGCATTATTAAGGAAAATGTATAACCTTGTAAAAAGTACTTCTCTTTTCTGAAATAATATGTTTAATATATACATATTATGTTAAAACATGCCCATTTTGAACTGAATAAAATGAAAACACATGTCAATTTCTGTGAATGAATCATAATCAGTCATTTGAGTGAAATTTAAACACTTACATGTAAACACAAAAGGAAGGTAGGAGTCAACTCAATGACATATGCATGCATCTTAAGAAGGTAGGTAGGAATGGAAGAGCAAATTAAACCAAACTAAATAGAAGACAGAAAATAAATGAAATAGGAAACAGAAAATAATAGGAAAATTAACCAAGACAAACATGAGATGTCTGGAAAGATTAATAAAATAGATAAACCCATAACAAAAATAATCTAGAAAAAAAGATAAAGAAAATACTAATGTCAGGAATGAAGGAGTGGTCATTACTGAAAGCTAGCAGGTACTGAAAAAAATAATGAAAGCATATAGTAAACAACTTCATACAAAGAAAGTGAAAACTTAGTTGAAATAGACAAATATCTTAAAAAATGTAACCAAACATACAAAAGAAGAAAGACTATCAAAATAATCCTATATTCATTTAAGAGATTAAATTTATATAAAAGAAAAATTATAATTCTGGGTTCAAATTGCTTCTCTGGAAATTTATTAAATTATTTACAAAAGAAACATTATCTCTGTTAGATAGATTCTTTCTGGAAATAGAAAAGGATTTACCACTTCACAACTTCTATGAAGACATGAAAAACCTGTTACTATACCCTACTAAACACTATGAGAAAAGTACAAATGATGCCCCTCATGAATATAGATAAGGGAAAAAAAGTCTTAATAATACCTTAGCAAATTGAATCTAGCAATGTATAAAAAAACATCACTTTATAACCCAGTGGTGTTTATCCCAGGAATAGAAGTTTGTTTTGACATTCAAAATCAATTTTTAAAAATTCACCATATCAAAGTCAAAAGAAAGAAAAAATATACTTAATATTTAAATGTAGATATCAAAAAATTAAGAGAATTCTACATCAACTTATGCTAAAAAGCAAAAAGCAAAAAAATAATTTAGTATTCTACGAGTAGAGTAGGAATAGTGTACTTCCTCTACCTGATAAAGGGCATCTGTGAACACCTACATTAATAGTATTAATAAAAGACTGTGCTTCCCCCTTCCCCTTAGTATCAGTAGCAAGAAAAGGATACCTACTCTAAACACTTTATTCAATATAAAGTGGAGGTCCTAACTATTTCAACAGACAAATAAAAGGAATTAAAGAAATGAAGATTGGAAAGGAAGAAGCAAAATTCATTATTTTCAGATAACATCACTGTATATGTAGAAAACTTAAAGAATGTACAAAAGTCCTCTTAGCATTAATAAGAAAATTAAGCTACATTTGCAGCATGTCAATATATAAAAATAAAATGTATGTTTATGTTCTGGCCTTTATAATACACTAAAAAACATAAATTACATGGAAATAAATTTAATAAAAAATATACAAAATTTCACATTGAAAAACACTAAAATATGAATAGAGCTGCTTTTCATGAAGGAACAAAGAAAGCAGTTTCTTAAGATGGAACATACTTCTGGCAAAGATGCTGTGAACATCCTTGAAATGACAACAAAGGATTCAGAATATGACATAAAATTAGTTTATACAGAAGTGGCAGGGTTTGAGAAGATTATCTCCAATTTTGAAAGAAGTTCTATTGTGTGTAAAATACTACCAAAGAGCTTCACATGTTTTAGAGAAATCTTTCATGAAAGGATGAGTCAACAGATGTGGCAAATTTCATTGTTGTCTTATTTTAAAAAGTTGTCCCAGCCACCTCAATCTTCAGCACAACACTGATGAGTAAGCAGCCACCAACATCAAGGCAAAAGTTTCCTTCAGCAGATAAATTATGACTTGCTGAAGTCTCAGATGATCATTAGCATTTTCTAGCAATAAAGTATTTTAAAATTAAGGTATGCACATTTTTACAGACATAATACTATTGAACATTTAACAGACTGTATAGTGTAAACATAACTTACATGTGTTGAGAAAGCAAAACATTTGTGTGACTTGCTTTATTGTGATATTCACTTTATTGTAGTATTCTAGAATTGAACCTGCAATATATCCAAGGTATGCCTTGTATATGATGTCTACCAGAGACTCACTTTAGATTTAAAGACAAACATCGGCTGAAACTGAAATGATAGAGAAAGATAATTCATGCGAATGGCAACCAAAAGAGAGTAGGGTGGTCATGCTTATTCCAGACAACACAGACTTTAAGTCAAAAGCTGTCACAAGAGACAAACAAGGACATTATATAAAGGTAAAAGGGTCAATGCACCAAGAAGATGTAACAGTTATAAATATATATCTATCTAACAGCAGATCACCCAAATATATGAATCAAATGTTGACAAAATTAAAGGAAGAGATAAATGACACAATAATAGAAGTTAAGTACTCACTGCGAGTACAGTGCCAAAGTCCCCCATGGAACAAAGGAAACCAGAGCCCATTCACTCCTTTGCTCAAGAGCTCCCCACTTGTGAGATGAAGGTGACTATACCCCCTTCCAGTGGAGATGCAAGCAGTGCCTGCAAATGGATATGTAGGGGGGACTCCTCCTTGGCCCCGATTCACTGCTGCGGATGCAGCTATGGCTGTTCCCATGGGGGGCTGCATGAGGGGACAGCCATTCCTGGGTTATTAGAGGCAGCTGAATCCCACTGAGCATGTGCCCACCACTCCCAGGCTTGCATGAATGTCAGTCTCACCCCATTCCCTACATGGAGGGGTAGCAGAATACAGGTGAGCCACAAAGCCTGTCTGTTTTGGCCTGAGGGAATGAGTTTTGCCTCAGAACGATTTCAGTGGAGAGCGACAGGATAGGAGTTTTCCTAAGCCCTCAGCTACATCACAGCCTGGAGGTAAATGACAGTGTCTACCAGAGCTGAAAGTCATGAGCCCCAGGAGAGGGGTATCATACGGATGGGGATTGTATTTCTGTACCCTTGACATGGAGGTAGTACAGTCTCATTCCCCCCAGTAGAGATCTTAGCACATTTCACAACAAGCTCACTCTGCCACCCCTGTCAGGGATGGTGCTTCTGCTCATCATCAGGGTATCTGAGTGTGAGCTTTGTGGTTTAGGACCACCCAGCTTTGTCCACACTCACACCAGGGCTGAGCAGGGAACATAGGGCATTGGGCATTCCAGAGACCAACCCATCTCCCAAAACAACTGAAGGCACCTCCTGGTAAACAAAGATCAAGCACATACCCATCGGCTTCTGCCACAGCTGACTCTTACCCCTAAGTGCCAGGTACTGGCCTGGAGGTTGAACTATGCAACGACACAATACAAACTTTGCTGACAAAAGTGCTAGTGAACAAGATAAGCTTCCTGAAACTTCTGCGACCCCAGTCCCACAAAAGGTAGTGAGTCTACTCAAGCCAGTATATCACTATTGCAATCAGCATTTGCAAAAGCCACCAAATAAAGGCTATCAATAAACAAGGAATGCACACAGAGCCTTGGCATCCTGAAAACACCCAAAATTGAAGCCAAATGACCAAACAACATACACTATAGTAACAATCTCAATGGATAAAAATAAAAATTAAAAAATAAATCTCTATCCAAGTAAATTAAAAAAAACAAGAAGTAACAGATTCTCCAGATGACAAGGGATCAGCATAATAACTCTGGCAGTATGAAAAAATCAGTGTTTTTACAACCCTAAAGGATCACACTATCTCTAGCAATGGGTCCTCACCAAAATGAACATTCTGAACTGACAAATAATTCAACCTATAGATTGTAAGAAAGCTAAATAAGGGTCAGGAGAAAGTTGAAAATCAACAGAAAGAAATCAGAAAAACAATTCAGGATATAAATGAAAAATGTACTAAAAAGAAAGATAATTTTAAAAAGAACGGAATTTCTGGAAATGAAAAAGTCACTGAAGGAATTACAAAATAGT